ATTGGGTCAAAACGTGTCAGGGTTTAAGAGGTGTGGGACAACGCCCTTAACAACACGCTTTAACTTGGTCAGCCCTGCGCTGGTCAGGCAGTTGGACTAGATGATCGTTGTAGGTCTCTTCCAACTGAAATCGTCTATTCTGTTCTTTTACATTACGGTTCTGAATGAAACCTTTTTTACAGAATTCTCAGAATGGCTGCCCAAAGTCCTACTTGGTTGCTGTTGGGAGGTGGAAACAATGAAAGAAGAATAAAAAAAACGAGTGGTCTTAAACAAAAGCAAAGAGCAGCTCAAATATCATTTGAGACCACAAGGAAAGAAAACATACCGGAAAAGCTGTTCAGCTTTAAAAGGTGAAGTATCTCTTAAAATTGTTAGAACACATGAGGAAATAGTTACAGAACAACTTCCAGGTGCATTCTGTCTCCAGACCCAGCAAGTGTCACAGCATGGAAGACACCTGTGGCAGCCCCACCACATGATTTTGCCACTTAGAAGCTGCAGGTGCAGGGCTCCAGCTTGAGCTGTACTTCTGTGCAGCAAAGTGTGTTACGCCACAGCACTTGCTCTCTCTTCCTCCTCTGCACAGCAGCAGTATGCCTCGTGTGTTGAGCAAGTACACCTACTTGTTATGCCAAACTGTGGTAAGTCAGGAAAAGTTTATAAAAGTTATAAAAACAAATAAACGACCCCTCAGTAGTTGCACTTTGGTGTGGTGGGGTTTTTTTTAAAGGCAAATAAATTCCTTCATTCTTTTCACATAGAAATCCCCAAGCAGCTCTGCCAGTATAACAAGTACCATGGAGCTGACGTATGTTGTAACAACAAGTGGACAAACCAGGCTGAATAACCTAAATCACATACTGTCAAAACGCTCGGTGCTACAAAGCCACGACCTAACAACAAGTTTAACTTACTTTGTTCAGTGTATTCATATACAATATAGATACTTGCAACATTTATCAGTATGTGGATTGAAACGCGTGTGATTAAATAAGCCACCAACACAAACAGGAATAGGAAAGGCTGCATCATCTCAAACAAGGGTGTAAGTCAAGACTCCAGCGGAAAGCCAAACTGCAGCCCTGGAGCTTGGTGTTGCTATGGCATCAGCTAAGGCAGCACTCTGCTCTCTCTTCCTACTGCTCCCTCTTCTGGATTTAAAAATGAGAAGAGCAGACAAGCACAACAAACCTTTCAGAATAACTCTGATCACTGAATATATAACCTGATCACTGAATATATAACCCGCTCACTGCAACGCTGCCAGAAATTGCATATATACACACTGGCGATCTGACCCTGGCTTAAGGACAGACAGCATTAACGCTCAGGTGGCTACTTCCAGAGATATTTTCCACACAGAAGAGGTGAGAGGTTAAGTGGGGTAAGCAAGCTCCGCTGCGGAGGGGCCCGCTGGTCTCAGGGAGGCCCCACCGCTGACAGGACCGCTCTTGACACCAGCGGGCACGGAGGGCGAGGCCCCCCCGCATCCTGAGGAAAGCTGACCGAAAAAACCAAGAGTTTCGTGGAGTGTTTTTGTTCCGACACAGGAAAGCATGCTGCAAAGACCCAACCACCGCCTTTTTCCCTTGCTATCTCACACCGTGCTTGGAGCTACTACAGAAGACAGGCCTAATGCCTGGGAGGTTCCGGCTGAACACGAGGAAGAATTTCTTCCCTCTGAGGGTGACGGAGCACTGGAACAGGCTGCCCAGGGAGGTTGTGGAGTCTCCTTCTCTGGAGATATTCAAGACCCGTCTG